AGTTCCCTTGAACTCCGGGGGCACATATTCATGTATAAAAGACGTACAAAAGTGCATTTTGCATGATAGGTCCCCTTTAAGTTAGAGCTGGTTACTTCTTAGTGTTAACAATAAACATGTGTTAACTGAATTAAAACTACTTTTGGGACGTAAAAATAGCATAGCACGAGGTCAGTGCCATCAGGATAACTTGAGTCTACTTTATTGTACTTCTCCACAGTGGGACATCTGAACACTGACAACACACGTGACAACATTATCATATCACTCCGCCAACCTCAAATATTACTAAAATGATAGCCTAGGTCAGGGATGGGCAATTTGGATGGTGGTGGGGGCCACATAATGTATGTACTGGCCACCAGGGGGCCACAGATTCACTTGGAACACACACACACACACACAAATTCCATGTATTGTATGTAATCATTAACAAATATACTAAGTCTGACATCTTCATTGACATTTTACAATCTTTCAGGGAACATCCTCTAATAAGCTCACTAAACAAATATCAGTTCACAGACATTTTATTACATTTTTACAAGTGGCATGTTTGTATTGAACAGGTTATTTAACAGTGGAATAAAACTATTTTTAAACTATTGGAAAGCACGGAAAATGTGTGTGCATTGAGATTAACCATTAAGATGACATAACATGAAGATGAACACTAACCCAGACATTAGTTGTCTAACTTGAACCTAAGACACTTGTAGCCTGTCTCTGCATTCCCCTTATTCCACAATGAGGGGAATGTCGACACCTGTCAACCCGCACTCTGCTGTTCCTCAGCGCCGTTCCCCCTCACTCCCGCTGAAATTATGAATGAAAAGCGTATAGTAATCATAGATAACACGGCAGGGTCCGTGACAGTTTGTTTTCATCTGATTTCAAATAAACAAAGTCTTGGTTTTTAGAATATTAAACTTGTTTCGCCAAATTCAGATGATAAATACAACTTTGAAGCTTGTAAAGGCATAATTACTACAAGCGGTGGGAAACAAACACAATACACACAAACGCGTCACAGATTATTTCGCAGTATTTGGCTGCGGAACGAAATCATGTACGCAGCTCGCGACGTAACAATGAGTCTAGTGGACGGTATCAGTACTACAAGTAAAAATAAATAAAAGAGGAGGTGTTTGCCATTCCTGGCCTAGCTAGGTGCAACATGTTTCATAGTTGCTATAAGGAACACAATTAATACAAATCAAAATTATTTCAATTGACATGAGACAATAGTACACTTAATTACAAGTCGTGTTTATCAACTTAGAATTTGAAAAGCTGTGTCTCTAGGTTCCCATCCAAATCAGTGTCAGCCAAATATTCAGAAAATTGTCAAAAGACAATGCTTTGCTGGACGTTTAGGTGACATTCTTCAGGTAAATCATGATTCATTCGCTAAGCCTGTTTCCATTGCACTTTGTTGAATTTTGTTCGTATCCTTAAAGTTCCCAAAGTTTTTCACCTCAACCATGGTAAAGATTGTTTTGCAATATTTGCAAAACTCAGATTTATTTGGCACAGATGGGGTATTAGATGGGTATCATTTCATTTGCAGGACTTTATTCCTCTATTATTGAGTCAGAGTGAAGATTTTGAAAGTCAGCTCTGGTTTGAATTGATTGCCAAAGCAAAAACACCAGGTGAGGTCTTCACCATTAAATTATGTAAGGACTATGCTACGGCAACTGCATTTTGGACCAAATAAAGTTGCTGTTGCTGTCGAAGGTAAGCCAGAAGAAAACTGCAAATCATATCATAATCAGAGTATGAGATGCTCAGGGAGACTACCCAATAGTGCACTGTTACATCCTCAAAGCTCCAAAGATTGAGACTGCTAGTATGTTGGCATTATTAAACACATACAGTATAGGCTAACATTATAACATTATTACTTTTGTTCCAGTACAATAAAACGCTCACAGGAACACGTACTGCAAGGTTTATTGTGAGTACTAAAAGGCAGGTGATGCTGTGCTCCATGGGAGAAAATAAAGCCTCATGGAGCCCACACACATACACATTGGCTTTTATCCTATGAATGAGTAGGCCAGCCAAAGTCATTTGGAAGCTTCCACATGCCAATGAATAAATAAAGCTATAATTAGTAAAGAAAACAGCGCCACCTGTTGGTGTTCCACCTCTGTGAACCCAGACCATTATAGAGTGCTGTGGGAAACACCTGAGCTTGCAAAGGCTGTATGTTAAAGTGTTGGCACGGTGTGTGTGTGTGTGTGTGTGTGTGTGTGTGTGTGTGTGTGTGTGTGTGTGTGTGTGTGTGTGTGTCTGTGTGTGTGTGTGAGGACGTTTTTTCCTGTGGGCCACCCGTGTAACCATGTGTGTTGTATGGCTTCCATTTGTAAAGAGGCTTACCGAGCATATGTGTTGGTATTGTGAGAGTGTGTGTGCTCCTCTGTGTACATGTGTGTGTACTTGAAGAGGTCCAACTGCATGTCCTGGGGCCCACCTGGCAGCCCTGTGCAGATTCTGGGGCCTGAGCAGCTGGCCTGGGGGCTGGTGAGGGTGTTCGGCGGGGGGAGGTCTGACAGGGGTGCGGGGGGTCTTCCATGGCCCCTGTCCCACCAGACCCAGACAGTAGGAGGCAGATGGACAGGCCAAAGCTACTGCCAGAGGGGCCACAGGGCCGAGGGAGAGGGCCAGCCAACACCAACTGAGCTCACTCACACACAGACATTGAATTTATAATGTTTTTTAGATACTAACTATATACTTCAGATTTTCTTAATTTCTAAATGTTACACTGAGAGATACTTCGAGAATAGAGAACAGCACAAGAGAAGAACTAGTCCCGGTACTGGAATATGTCGTTGTGTTCTTCCACTAACCGTTAATATTAGTTTTTTTATTTCAAGTTGGATTGCAAGTAGCAGGTAATTGCTGGGATCTGGAAACACAGCATCATTGCTAAAAAGGAGTTTAACCAGGAAAGAAACACAAACCACCAGCTTAGCCAAACTTTTTTTGGTAGAGAAAATCAAAGCTTAGAACAAATGATAACCCATATCTGACTTCCTGGTTCAGCTTCGATCTATGGTAGCTGCGGTTGTGTGTGCAGAGAGTTCTTATGCAGTAAGGCGTTGGAGACATTTTTGTAATACTCACACTTCCGTTTTCACTTCCAAACAAAGTAGCTCATTGGTTGATTGATTGATTGGTTCTCGGGTCGCCCTTGGTTGTCTTTTTTGTCTTTATTGTCCATTCTTTTAACCCTCCTGTCATGTTGGGGTCAAATCTGACCAATTTACCACCAATCATAAATAATGTGTTTAACATTTGATTGCTTCAATGCTTTATGATATCCTCCGCAGAAGGCATTTGAACAAATAACATTGCTGATCACCTCTTTCACTGAATTTTGAGTAGTCAACTAGTCAACTTTCACTGCAGTTCTTCATGTAAACCGTTAGTCTGAGACATTGTGTACAGCTTAAAAGGGTGTTCAAAATAATCTGGTGATGATTAGTGGTTTTTGTGTTAATGTAAGAGCAGTTAAAACAGACAGGTCAAATTTGACCAGGAACACCAAAGTAACGGGGAGACATAAACACAACAGGAGGGTTAAGCATGCTTCTGTGATCCCAGATCTAAGCAATGATTTTTGATGTGTACAATGTTATTATAAATTAAAGAAATGATGGCCCAACCTATACAAATACATCCAAGCATCAAATTAGAATAATCTTTTAACACAACTCAAGCCAAGTCTCACAAGTCCTAAATCATAAACATTGAGTTTTGAGTCCTAAACAAATCATAAGTTACTCTTCGCACAAAAACGACCGCCATTTTAAACCCACATGTTGCTCATAAACATAACCATTAAGCCTCTTATAACCTTCAAACACTGATTTTAAACATGCAATAGAAAACTTGACCCAGAACAACACCATATGGAGGACGAATGTGATAAGACAGTCACAGTGATTTGACAAGAATACACTAAAAGTGTTTAGGATTGACACAGAGTTTATTATGAACATGTATCTAGGTGGTGGTGGTGGTGGTGGTGGTGGTGGTGGTGTGGGAGGTAGCCACCGGCTCCAGCAGTCCAGAGAGCCACAGATGCTCCACTGTTTGTGTGTTGACTCTGTAATTTGTTTGCTCTAATTTGTTTTGCAGTGCCAGGGGAGTTCCGATTTTAATTTCGCTCTGTGTGTGTTTACCCCTCTTTGTGGATCGCTGATCTGTTAAGCATAGAGAGAGGCAGAGAGACAGTCAGAGTGGAGGGTGGGCTGTTCACAGAGCCAAATTAAAAAAGGAGCAGTGCAGATTGTTTTAAGCTCTGGCAGCCCCTTCAGGCCCAAAGGCCTCGCTCGCAGCCTGCACCTGCTCCGTCCCCCGGGAGCATGGTTCCTGATCCGTGGCCCTCGCTTCTCCTCCCCGGGCCCCCTATCCGAACCGCCTCCTCCTCTCCTCTCCTCTAACTCCTATTTTCCTTGTTTGCTTCATCTCCTCCCCATTGACATCTCTCCTTCCCTTCTGCTGCCTCCTTTCTCCTCACGTCTCCCCTCCAAAAACTCATGGTGCTCCTTCTCTCCTCCCTGATGACTTCCCTCACTCCTCAGCTCTGGCCTCTTCACCCCTTCTCTCCTCTCCACCAGCTGCTCCTCCTCTGTATCCCTCCTTCTCCTCTTGCCCTGGCTCAACTTCCTCCTATCCTCCCCTCATTTATTCTCCTGTAACTTTTCTTCATGCTGCTCCTCTCTCCTCCTCTTGTCTCGCCTCCAGCAGCTGGCAGAGTCTTAATCAGCAACCCTCCGCATCTCGATGATTGCAACGTGTTAGCCTGATTGAGAACACACAACCACACACACATAAGATACAGTCAGATATGACAATATAACACGATCTGTGGGCTATCACGATTATTAAACTACAGTGCAGAGCTCAATAAAGCGGCGTCAAAGCTGACATCAACACATTTTATTAACCCGAGACACATAATAAGAATGCAAATTAAACTCTTGTTTAAAATTGTCACAGCTATTCTTTATTGAAATCACCCAGTCGCTCTGTCCTTTATGACTGCACAGCCAGTTTGATCAGTCAGTCAGCTCTACACACAGTATGGTACACTTTGTCACACATACAATATGTACATTAACCCAGCAGTAATGCTATGACATGTTCCAATAACAAGACAGTTACTTTTAATATGGCTTGATTAAAGTGGTCAAACTGTATATGATGACCCAACTAGATGAGGCGAGTGCAAATCGCACAGTCCGGAGGGGGTGGGTCGACCCAATGGAAGAAGGTTGTCTCAGGAATCTAAGTATCAAGCTCTGGCCTTCTGTCACTAACTCACCTATCAGGCTTTTCATTTGCAGTTCACCCAAACTGCTAAAAGCTATCCCAAGTGGTATAGCCATGCAGACAGTCTTATTTTGAAATTCACATGAAGAACTTGTTAGCAAACAGTTACATCTAGCAGACACAGAGCAACATTAGCATTCATTCGAATGCGTGTTTCTTGCCACCTGATGATATTGTATTATCTATATACTTCTATTTTTTTGCTATTGCTTTTTGCCCTCCACCGGCTCCTGAGGAGTCTCCCTTTTTTGCAGATAAATGATCCATTATGGTCACTAACTAGTCATCAGTAATGTAGGAAGTATTCAGATTTGATTAGTTTAAGTACAAAAACCACACAGAAGTCCTCCATTGAAACTGTTACGTAAGAGGGCCCTATTATTGTCATTTTCAGGTTCATATTTTGACGTGTTTCCATGCTTTAATGTTCAAAAAGGTATTTTCATCCTCGGTCTGAAACCAGAGCCCACTCTGCTCTGATTGGTTAGCTGGCCGACTCAGTTGTGATTGGTCAACCGCTAAGAGATGTCCCGCCCCTAGGCAAATCACATGAAAAAAGCGCGAGAGGGGGGCTTGTGTGGGGGAGATACTCCCTCTGAACTTTGAGAGTTTAGCCTTTGCAGACTATTTACTTGCACACAAACCTATATACCACACACCAGGAAGGGAAGCCCCCCCAAAAGCATAATAGGGCCTCTTTAATGTTATGAAATTGAGAATGAAATCCTCAAATTAGAAGGGCTGCAAGACTAACACAATAAATACAATAGTTATTAATCAACTAAATTGTACAGGCTGCACTTGTAAAAACTGTTGAGGCAGCAATCCTATAGACACATACAGTACATCTTAAAACATGTACAAATAAAAACAAAACTATCTGCATGGCATGGATGCTTAAAGTAAGGACGTTTTTCTTTATTTGGGTGAACTGACTCTTTTAAACATTAGTTGCATCTACTCTAAACGCACCACATTCTTTTTACAGCAATCATATTGCCATTACGAGCACTTTACAGACAAAAGTAAATGCTTCCCGAGACATTTTGGTCCATTAAATACCCAGTTTTGCTCGTTTTTAGACTAGCAATGTTCAGTTGATTTGGTATTCTGACTTTATCACCTGACATTCACACACAGTAAATCTCACATACACAATCATGATCCAGACACCCAGCGTCCTGTACTGCTGATATACACATTTCCCATTCAATTGTCTTACACTGTCCTCTGCCTTCCTCCAGATTGCTCCCATTAACATAAGGTGAAAATACATTTCCACTAGTGCAAAATAAAGTCTCTCTTTGAGAGCAATAAGAAAACAAAGTTTAACAAAAAATATATACATTTGACACATTGGATCATATAGAAATAATAAAGTGGCACTGATAATAAATTATATCACAAGAAAAAACTGCTGCAGACTATATTCCCCCATTTCTTTAGTCTGAAAGAACTAAGGCTGATTTGTAAGTATGCATACATATTTAACTTGCAGGCTGACAAGTTTTTATGAATGAAACATTAAAGTTTTGGACTGTAGGAGGAATTCCTGCTGTGTTATTGGCAGGTTGGAATGACCTTGTTGTTCCAGAATAAACACAGGCTGACTACTGACTCCATCTAGTGGTGAAATATACCAACTACAGCGTTTTGCTGAAATCAAGAAGATTTTAAAATCAATAATCGGATTTCCTCCAACAACAAAGTGCAAGCAAATAATAACTAAATCGGGAGAAATAAGGATAATACCCATTAAATCACAGGCACAAAACTGCTTCTTTTTCATTCTTGTTTCTATTCCATTGGACTACTACTAAGGTTGTGGTTTGATGGAGGTCATGTTTTCTTCCCACATACAGTAGCACAAAGGGAATGACACGAGGATCAATCTACAGCACAGACTCATCTGTGTTTCCTCTCTCGCACACAGATGGTTAACGGCAGCTGTTCCTGTCAGTCACATGATCGATCTCCACCTGTTTCAGTGGGTTTGTGCGTTAGGACACGTGGCGGAGTGGTGATTAGTTGCATCGTTTCATAGCAAGTGAGGTGCCGCCTGTCATGAATACACCGCTCCTTGGTCGACATCACATTTTTCACTCGATGAGACATTTCTTCCGTGTTAACCTTTCGCACCAGCTTCTGCGTCTTAGGATGAGACAAATAAGGCAAAGAGGAACTGCCGCGGGGACAGTTCTGATGTTACAGGAAGGGGCAAAGCATACAGTATTAGTGTTATGGGGTTCAGTTTGTATGCACTGCATATTAATACCCAGGGGGTCCATCAGGAAGGTTAATTATTTTGGGTATCAGAGGTTGAGGAGTCATTTCTTCAGCCGTGAGAGTCTGGCAACCTGTCCAGATTTTTAAAACTAACTATGCATCGTCTCCTGTCAGCCAATCACGACCATCCTCAGGTCAAACCTCAAGGTCGGGAATTAACTCCTCCTTAAGCTGAATGTCATTTTCGGATCCCGTGCCCACGTCCGAGTCAAAGAGTGAGTGGTCAGATTTGGGCGAGTGCGTGTGTGAGTGTCCGCCTGAGTGGCTGCTGGCGTCGCTGTCGTCAAGAGTGTTAGTCCTGGAGAAGAGGCCAAAGTCCAGCAGGCCTGTAGGGGAGCCACTGCTCTCACTCTCTCCTTCAAAATAAAAATCTTCCACCTCCACAAACCACTCGGGCCAGAACCTCCTCCGCATCCGCTCGCAGAACATGGCCAGGTTGATCAACTCTCCTGTAAAGACAAAAGACACAGCAGGTTTATAAGAACAAGCTTTTACAGATACAGCTAAACCATCAGGAGGTATCACTGCATGGTGCTTACTGACATTTTGAGTCTGATAAAGAGGAAGACAATACATCTGGGATACTTTCAGAGACATAATTATGTGCTATCTTTTTATGATAAGTGCTTTCAGAAAGTATGTATCAAAGCAACAGCGAGGAACCCTCATTTGTGACATTACAAGCTCTGATTTTGCTCTCGGAAAAGATAAGAGACCCAAGTGTTCCCTACTCAGTGCAACAATCAAAGCCTATCAGCATCACTGCATTACAGTATAATATCACTGCCATCTACTGGCTGAACATACAAATACATCTATGACAAACCACTTAGGAAATATGCAAGTGACATGTTTATCTTGAAGTCAAGCTTATATACTGCAAAACAGGGTAATAGTGAAGCTCAAACTAAAGCAACAGTATTTACAGTTAATATGCAGAGCACTCCACAGATCCACTGACCTTTGATGAGTTGTTCTGGTCGTGTCCCAGGAAGAGTCCACATAGCCTGGGCTAGATGCCCAAACACTGTAGCATCTAATGTGGACATCTTAGAGCCCATGAAGTATTTTTTATCTCCTGTGGGACAGAGACATTTGAAATGATGGAGCATAATAATTAGTAGTGTTTGAAATAAAAGAAACATTGCTTTAAACTTTTTGGATTCAAAATAAAAAAATATATAGAAAAGCTAAAGGTGTTTGATTGGCACCAGCCGGTTAAGTAACAAAAAAAACATTGTTGATTTTCTAACAATTTAATTTCTTACTACTAGCTCTTGGAGTAGCAGAAGCTAGATCTTTCAACCTTTTATCCATGACTTTTAGCTAACTCAACTGTTTTTACTTTTAGCTTGCTATTTCTGTTTATCCATTTCTTTTTGGTATTTATATCAATGGTATGCATTACTGTTTAGCTTATAATTTCAAAAGTTTATCCATTACTTTTTCGCTAGCCGTTTCTGTTCTTTAGCTAACTAGCAACTGTTGCTCAAGCATTATTTTTAGCTAGCTAACCAGCTTGTTCATCCATTTATTTTAGGTACATATTTCAGTAGGTTACATTATACATTTTTGCTAATTATTTAAAAAGATCATTCTCCCTTAGCTAACTATTAATCCTATCCATTACTTTTAGCTAGCTATTTTAACCTTTCTTCTAGCTAGCTAACTTAAATTAGCTAGGGTGTTACAACACAGTAGGTTAGTGGTAAGCATAAACATTTAAGAAGGTTTTATCTTCATAGTAGTTCCTTCCTAAACACCAATGCGGATTGTTCATTCAAATATAGCCTACTGTATATTTCTTTATATTAGTTGAGCTGCTTAACAATAGTTCTAAGTATACAAATGTAAAAAGAGAGATATTAGGCTAACCCTGGTTGGGCATCACCTTCCAAGACATTACCCCTCCACCCCCCCAACACTGAAATATATCATACATTTTGTTAAAATAAACGTGTAAAGAATGTTAACAAGACAGAGACAGAACAGTATGGCCAGTTATACATATTTGATATTAAGTTTGTGTGGCCTTAGATACGGTTTATGCTAAATCTATTAGCTTCTCCTTCCCTGTTCGGGAGAATACACACTTTAAAATAAACTAATTTCATCATGAAACTGGAAGAGCTACACTTTTGGCAGCAGCAAAACATTTTATACTCACACTCATGAGTCAGGAAAGCAAAACAGAAGCTAAGTGTACTGATGATTTCACAGAATAACTTTCCGTTTTACAACAAATGGTCTTCTGTTGAAATGGTACAAACAGATCGATGTAAATCACTTTTCTTTCAAGCATCTGGCTCTTTGTTTCCATCTGAGCACTGATATCTTATCCCTGTGGCTGACATCCAGAACTTTCCTGTTTTCATTTATCTCTGCTATACCTCACTAAGTAGCCTACAAACACAGAGATGTTCTGTTTAGATAAAGTGAAAATGATATTGGTATTTTGTCTACAAGGAAAGTAAATGCATTATTTCCAGGACATACAGCTCTGTAAAAAATTAAGAGACCACTCCAAATGTTTCTTAAATCTCAATCTCTACATGTATGGCAGCCATTCCCTTACAGTATCTGTTTAATTCCAACACAGAGAAAAGTAGTCAGTAGTTTACCCAAACACATACCTATAAAAAGTAAAACCAGAGAAACTGATCATTTTGCAGTGGTCTCTCTTCTTCCATAGCTGTATATGTTTATGTTTATGTTATATGTTATTTAGTTATTCACATTATAAAATGTGCCTTTTCATTGTATAATATTTCATTGTGCATATATATTTGAAATAACTTGTGAGGGTCCATGAATCATCAAGACTAATTCTGCATTAGGCCCCATTAGACTTCGATAATGATCCGACAATTTTCATTTGGTCATTATGACTTGGCAATGCAGTAATACATTAGCTCGACATAGATGTCTACTTTACATACAACTTCCTGTGACTAAATTAGCTTTCCGCTGTCACTTTTATTTAATTCTGATTACCTGAATGTAACATAACAATCACATAACTGTTCTGGAAAGGTTGACACATTTCACAACAACTATCCAATGGACTGAGTTTCTGAATACATATGACCATCCAGTCCTATTATAAAGAGAACTGTACCAACGGCTACAGATGTGTACTGTACTATAATTCTGTTATCCCAGATTTTAAAAAACAGCCGCTCTTTTATCAAATTACATAACAGAGTTGGGGTAATCCCTTCTCATACAGTTGATGACTTAAGGGGTAAAAGCCATAGAGAATGCTAATCAAAACACACGGTCCTCTTCCTACCTAACAGTGTGGCCAGCGTCCTCATGTCCTTCTCCATCAGTGTGTAGACCTCCTCCTTAGAGAAGCGTCCGATGCCATGGCCGTACATCTCCCTGCGCACCATGCTGCCGTTCATGTGGCTCAGCAGCCACTTCAGGGTGTCGCTCAGGGGGCCGGTCATCGACAGAAGCTTCTGCGTTTCATCTACGTTGTCCACCCACTGACAGTAGGCTATCGTCCTGACAGAACACAAAGCACACAACATGGTGTTTACATCACATTGCGAAACGGTGTCAGAAAATGGATGAGTCTAGCATCAAACTTCTTTATATCACAGATCATATATATACCATTTTTTTTATGGAGATGTGATATGGATGTAGAGAGCAATCCATCCAACATTATTTGTAATAAAGTGGATGAGTTGCTATGTGATTCCTTTCCTCAATTATGCAAAAGAGGAAATTCCATTCTTTACGCCAAACACGTCCTAATAAATTGTGGTTCGGAAAAAAAGGAAGTGACGTATTTAGAGGTTTATCCCATGCCCTACTACCAACAAAGCTTTATGTCTATTGACAATAACCTCGTCCTAATCAATAAAGTACACTACCACTTCCCGTTTATCAGCATCATATCCAGCCCTTTAAACTGTCAGGCTGCATGTAAGAGAGGAAACGGTGACTGTGAAAGCATCCCAGGAACTCCATTACAGATTTGAACTGGAAAAACTCAAGCTGCATTGCTTTGTGGAGTCAGTCAGAGTCAGTTTTGCTTGTGTTCAAATCTAAAAATAGGAAACAGAAGGAAGAGATTTGTCTCGCAGCAGCCGACAGACAGATCCAGTCTCTGTGTGCAAACAAGCCCAACTCAAATCCTTAAAATCCCTCTTTAGCTCTGCTTTTCATTAACCACTTTGTCTCATTTGTGACCATTGAAAATGTAAAAAAGGAAACCTAGGAGACAGTTGTTTTATCTTAATTATACACATAAGCCTGTGAAGTGTATTCACCTACTTAAGTAAGGAAAATATATGTTTACAGTTTCTGCATTTCTTTTGCACCATTCTCTTGCACTATTTGTATGTTTTTAAGTAGATTGTATGATGTATTTATTGTTGGAGGAGCCTGAGACTTAATTACTACCTTTCCTGTAGTGTGTTATAAAGGGTTTTTTTTGCATGTAAATGGTCTGCAAAGGCTAAAATCCCTCCAGGGGGAGTTTCTCTCCCACACACTCCCCCCCCTGCCTGAAACGCCTCCATTGGACTCCTTTGTTTACTTCTGTAACACAGTGACATCACTATGTAACACTTGCGCTTCTATTGGCAAGCACTCCAACACATTGGGTGTTTCTCAATGTCGAGGACGCTTGCTTGGTAGCACATGTCTTCCGAGTCACTTGCTTCAGAAGCGCGAGGCAAGAATCCTTCCTAGCCTCGGAAAACGAAGAATTGTGGAACAGGCTAACAGGTGTGCAGGTGTGCGTCATATGAGAGGCCCCGCCTAAAATTGAGCGCGATTTCTGCCAAAGATTTGGAAATTGGTTCGTGCGCAAAGCATTGTGGGGATTTTAAGACCGCAGAGTCTACACATGTGCAGCCTCGAAATTTCTCGCTACGAAGTACGCCGGCCTCGGTAGAATTCCAAGTATGCTGGAGATTGGACAGTCCTTCGGCGGGACTCGATGACGTAGTATGCTTGAAATAGTGGCTCTGGAGCAGCCTTCCTCGACATTGAGAAACACCCATTGTATGTGAAAGGCTCAGAGGCGGGACATCTCTAACAGAGCCTGCCAGCTAACCAATCAGAGCAGACTGGGCTCTGGTTTCAGACAGAGGGTGAAAAGAGCTGCTGCAGCAGCAAATAAAGACCTTTTTGAACATTAAAGCATGGAAACATGTCAAAGTAAAGGAACAAAATACAAATATGAAACCTGGAAATAAGCATAATAGGGCCCCTTTAAGATTTTCATTGCCAAAACTACGCTGTAACAAATCATTTGAATGTTGAATCTACTGATAGTGCAAGTGTCTCTGATGTGTGGTACACATGTGTTGTTTTTCCAGCCGAGCTGCCTGTGCGTGTAAACACTAATAAGATTAAGATGCTATATCCTTACACACTCTCTCCCATTACTTCGTAGGAAATGCAGACTGATCTTCTCTCACAGATCGTCTGTACGCCTGGAAGCTTTATGTTGTAATTCTGCCGGCAGTGGCTGACCCCTGCGCCATGATGCGACTGCAGAGCAGCGTCTGCCTCTGGCCTGCACTCTTCTCCATCAGTCTGGTAGACAAGGCGCTCAATGCAAATTGAATTTAAGCATCTGACCTACATTACATCTGGGAGTGGTGACCGTCCATGGGCCATACATTACTTCCTGTTACATTATCTGATCTGTTGTCCCAAGAGGATATACAGTCCTTTGTTTCAAGATTAGAAAAAAAGCCCTTCTTAGCAGATTCAAATATCTAATTAAGATGAGGTCAGTCAGTTTTGAGGGGGTAGACAATGGAAGCATGAAATCATTGTTTTGGCCTTTCTGCACTTTTCATTTCCAGTCAGTATGTGTTTCCCACTTAAGGTTGTGACTCACAAGTTGATGATAAAGAGCATTAGTAGTATTCTTACTGTTATAACAATTTGTTCTAAAAGTCATAAGCTGATTTTAAAGACAAGATGAATCATTTCACTGACTCATCAGAAGTGCATTGCAGTCTTGCATTTTTTAGTGTTCAAATAATAAAAGGCTTGAAAAAAGCTAATTGATTGTGTTTTTATTGAATTATTGGGGATAAAAATTGTTCTATTTAGTCCTCTGTTGAATTGCATGACCATTTTGGCCACTGTGATAGTGGAAGCTGTAAAACTAGTACCTCATAATGTTGTAGATGAACATGTTAGCAAACATTTGCATGTTTATTTAAACATCCGGCAGAAACAACATGAAAATAAGCTGTATATTTGAAATATTTCTACCAATTTAAAGCCCCACCAGAATTCATTGACAAAAAACAGTGATTTTACCTTGCAGAGCCCAGAAGCTGCTGGTCTTACGCTGCCTCAAACAGAACATTTGTTTGTGTTATTGTGTGACTTCTGTATTTTGAACTTACCATTATAAATACCAACATCACACAATAACACAAACAAACAAACTGATCGAGACAGGGGTAGACCAGCAGCTCCTTTGTTTTGTGAAGTAAAATTACTGTTTTTGTCAATGGAGTCTGGTGCCGTTGAAAAGAGCATAGATAATATCTCGAAAAGGGCTGTCTGACGGGGGTTAAGTGGTGAAAATATTCTAAAAATAGCATACATTTAAACTGATATTGACTTTTTTTAGGAAGACTTTTTGCTGCTGCACCGATACCTCATATAACCCCACTTCAAAAAATCCATACCACCCTTTAGACAGCAAAGCTGAACAGAGTATAAAGCACAGAGGCTGCTTGTTCTTCAGTTTCCTGTTATCTTGTTTTTATAGCAGCATCGATCAGAAGTGCTGGAGGAAAACAGAGTGTGTACTGTATGACGTAACACTCGGTTAGTGCCGCTGGCCAGAAGCTAGCCCTTCAGAGAGCAACCAAGCTGCCAGATTGCCCTTTCCTGACATAAATAATTCAATCAATAGGTCTATAAGTGGGTCTAAACATGGGCACACAGGGTGGGTGGAGGAGCAGAGAAAAGAGCGAGGAGGTGACACAAAGAGGGAGGATGTATGCATGACCTCTAAAGCTTGGGAGAAAGAAATAATTGTTTACATCACGCAAAAGTTGCAATTTCACATCTATAGGCTATTTTACACATTAAATAGCGAGGTTTCACATGTCACAATGTGTGTGTGTGTGTGTGTGTGTGTGTGTGTGTGTGTGTGTGTGTGTGTGTGTGTGTGTGTGTGTGTGTGTGTGTGTGTGTGTGTGTGTGTGTGTGTGTGTGTGTGTGTGGGGCAAAGATGGATGGAGCTTTTAGGTAATGGAAAACAGAGCCTGTGTGGGGAAGGAGGGGTGGTGAATGATTTCCTAGCAGCAGCTTCTCACCCAGAGGCTCAGGAGTGACTCACCACGGCAGGCATGGCTGACAACACACTGCTGATGTTGAGGGTAGAGACAGCTTGAGCTGAGGCTGCATGAATAATGTTTAAAAAGTAAATAACACTGAATCTAAGCTTTAAATCTCCTTATATGCAATCTGAAGAGCTACAGTCATTAGATTTGGTCACACCATGTCGATCAGTATTTTCATATTGAAAACTAAAGTTATTTTTAAACATACTTTTCCTTATTTTTTTATATATTAATTTAGTTGTGTGTTCTTTATTTTTTTTAATCCTATTCATTATTATTTATTTTTGCTCTTTTGTTTGTCAAACATAACATAGTTTTATTAGGGTTTGCCTCTGTCAAATTGAACACCAATAATTAAAATAATTATTCAAATGAATATATAAAAATAAATATTTTATATTTATTTAAAAAATAATTGTAATTAAATTAAAAGCCAAACAATTATTTAAATCAATATTCCATTGTTCTTTTTCAGTGAGATCTGTGTGGGTGGTTCCTGATACTGTTTAACATTGGGCTTAGGTGTTAAAATATGCATTCGATAACTAATATGTAAATATAAATATATAGGTTCAATTCAGCCAATGCATTATTTGTGCCTTCAAGTAAAACTGTTGCATCAAATTACCGAAATGTCCCCGTATTCCGAATTAGATGTCCCCTTTGAATCATATTTTATTAAACGTTTCCAAACACCCAGTTTTAACTTGTCCATAATGACATAGGGTGCGTCTCACTTCTCTTATTTTTCATTTCCTCGCTCCTCGGGCTCGGTATCACCGGAAGTTGATTTGTCTGCGCCATCTTGAGTACCGTCCCAGTGGCCTTATTTTTGCTGGAGGACCGAGGATCGAGGATCGAGGAGTGATAACGGAGGAGCGATAATCGAGGAACTACCAGACCATCCTCCGGTGAAATCCTCAGACACTCGCCCCGCCCCCTTACTGTGTATCGCTCACTGATTGGACGATGCAGCGCATGCACTGATCTGGCTGCTGTCAGACGATCAGCTGTGCGGCGTCATCACAAACGGACTTCGCTTCACGTGACGCTCCGGAGGAAACAACGTCCCATTGCTCTTAAAACTCATTTCCCTGCTTCTCATGGTTTCCTTGCGTCTCTCCATGCTTCCCTGGTGGGAGGGACTAGTCGCAGAGAAACGACGCAAGTGAGGGACGCAAGGAATCCATTTAACCAAAGTGAGATGCACCTATAGTCCCCTACCAGTACAGGTGATCCTCCACCATGGTGGTGATAGCTCGGGACACGGCTCTCTCCTCAGGGGTGAGGTTTACGTTGAGGTTAACTCCCAGCATCTCCTCCAGGAAGTCCACGATGAACTCTGAACCTGACGCCTGCTGGTGGTTGTACTCGATCCACGGCATCTTACCCTGCGGCGACAGCTTCCCATCAAAGTAGTTCTGCAGAGAGACACAGATTCAGATTAGAATATCAAAGATTTGACAATCTGGACAAAATTAGCTTATTATTTATGGAAGCCATGAGAGACCAAAGAAAACTTGAAAACGCCCAAAAGAGTATTACAATAACAAATGATTATCGTGGGGGAAAGGGTCACGGAGAAAAGTTGTTTGATTAGTTGGCGATCTCTGGGAAATGTCTCCCCCTTTTATAATGTATTCTGCTGAGCCTCACCTGGTAGGGCAGGTCCACCATGCGCAGGTACGTCTCCAGTTTGAGGCAGAAGGGTGAGAGGCTGGGCACGCCGTTCTTTGGCCTGGAGAACTGATGGAGGATGATGGCGTCTTTAGAGTCCAACTCCTGCTCTTTCCTACAGAAGAAGAAAACAATACATTTAATATGTAAACAGTCTATTTAAGATGATGTTCTCAGTTCAGATTGCAATGCCCACTGTATAAGAAGACTTCATATAATTTGTTCTTGTAACCCCTGACATGAAGGTCATTTATCCAGGTCTGTCGAAAGCATGATTGCTGAAAAAATACTGGCCCGATTTACATGAAACTAAATCGAAGGGTGAAGCACGGGCAAAAGAACAACCTATAATATTTTGGAGAGAATCCAAATCATGAGGAGGAAACATGAACTTGGAAGTGAACATTGTGAGATAGGACCTTTGTACTGCACTCGTGAGGTGTTGGAATAGTTGTGAAAATGTGTTTCCAAGTGGGAAATCAAGTAGGCCAAACTTTTGCTACACATTTCATGGCTCCTTGTTGTCCCAAAAATACTGGACAAACGTAATAAAATAGCCCTACGACGCATCGTCTTTGAAGTGTCCATGCTGTTCTCACTTTCAACCCAAAGCTCTTGACCACAACACGACAGAAGAACGGCTTCCCAACTCAGGAAATGGGACCATCCAAAGACCATGTGAATGCCTCAGTCTATTCAATTTAACATCAACTGAAAAACCATGTTGTCAAACCAATGAGGCAATAATATTTGCTGTTGAGGAATGATTTGATTGACAGCAAGTATAATTCAAAAGCACTTCCCTCAGAAAGCTGTGTTTGATGCTCTGATGGATTTCCCCCTCTGGTTCTGTTGTGTTTCCTGCTTTCATTGATTGTTTTTAGCAGGAAAAGGCTGATGCTCCAGGGAGGAATACACTATCTGTTTGATATTGTAAACCCTACTGACTATGTGTAAACACCCAGAGGAACATGAGGAGTGATACAAACTTAAAAGCCAGTGAAAGTATCCTTTGATTCAAATGCTAACTTCTCAGAGCTGTCACTTTTAGATTAGATTACACTGAAATGAACTGTAGTGTATTTGTTCTGAGTACAGGTACAGTGCGTGTAGGGAGGAGAGGAGGAGAGGGTCACCTCTGTAGTTTATTATAGCGTGATGACACAGCAGTAAGTCCCAGAGTCCCTGAGCAACCGCCCGGCAACACCTTTCTTTATTTTCAGAGACTGCAGAGGCTTAACTTCATTCACTTTCAAACAGTAGCTTTGAGCAGCAGACCTACATTGTGTTGTCCTGGAGGAACATATATAAAATAAATCCAAAATGCTAATCCGAAATGCTCAGCCATTAGGATTTCAGCCAATGCTGCACATGTATCCCTCATATTGTCATCTAAAATCTAAATGGTTACATGCTTATATTAATGTAACCAGAAATGAAAGATATTATATTAACAAAAGTTGAGCTCCAAAGATTCACCAGTTAGTTGTTGAATTGAATGATGAATGTTGGAGATTCATTAAATTAATCTCCTACTATATTGATAACCTATTGATCGTGTGAGTTATTATTTAAGAAAATAAAGTCAACATTCTCTTAATCCAGCTCCTTAAATGCGAATATTTTCAGATTTCTGTACTCCTTTATGACAATAAGCTAAATATAATTGAGTTGTTGACAAAATATGACATTTTTGTCAACAACTCAACCCACTTGTTGGGTTTTGGGAAACATTTGAACAATTTTCTGACATTTTATAGATCCCTCATGCCTGCTGTTTGAACACAAACCATAATAAACTCTTCTACTGATGTTCTTTGTTTCTCTCTGGCTGTGTTCCCTGTGGTCCCTGGAGCAACTGTGCCAACATGCACGTGGTTGTCACTGTATCCCTGTACTATTATCACCCAGCCAAAAATACATTTGGTAGGTGATGTTTGATCAAAAGGAAATTGTTTGTTTGATATGAAAAAAAGATGATTTGATCAAAGATGAACAACTACACTGATCACGAACACGTTTTCCGTTTTCCTGTTTGTTGCATTTCATGTTTGTGTGTTGGAATTACCATCAAGAGACATAAAAAGGGCCTGAGCACAACATGGACACTTTATTTATGTGTCTATTACCAACACTTAAATATGACCCGCCAAAGCTTTGTAAGCATTTGAACATCATGAGGGGGAAAAAAGATTATATATATATAATAACAAGGAGGCTGTGGCTCAGTGGATAGTATAATGGACTTCGAATCAGGGGATAGCAAGTTCGAGTCCCACTGCAGTCAGCATGTCGTTGTGTCCCTGGGCAAGACACTTCACCCCAAATTGCTCCTGTGGGGATTGTCCACAGTACTGAATGTATGTAAGTCGCTTTGGATAAAAGCGTCTAACAAATGACATGTAATGTAATAATTTCCACCCTATGGCTTCCTGTTCCTCTCCAGATGTTATGTATGCAGCACAGAGGAAAGGGTAAAAGGAGACTTTACATCCTGGCATTAGCATCATTGTGCAGGCAGACAAAGCATGTCCGGTCTGTTTAGCATATCTTTTATCACTGGCCAAAGCTCTTCTTTGTGGGAATTTTTTTCTTATAACTGTATAAAATAACTCCAATCTTTTATGGGATTTTATTGTATGAAAAATGCAGTCAGTTGCCAGCTTAAGTAAAAATCAAATAAACAATAAAACGTGCTTTTCTGATAATTCAGAGGGTTAAACATATTTCTAATATTTAGACTACCATCAGTGAAACGGATTGGTAAAAACACTATGCGACTCAGTATAGCAACACTCTAAACGACAGCCTCTAAAATGACCACAAAGTTCAATCCATGCCTCTCTGAACTCTAACATGATAAGCTAACATCCAACTCAATGCTCCAAAGGCTTTTAAAAGATGAAAGAAAATCCATGGAAACACCAACTAACTACCCCTTTACTGCTGTGCCCTATTTAACCGATCAAACATAATTACACTCATTGATGCTTTGAATAAAAAACGTATCCTGCAATGCTTACAATTTGTATGCATTAACATAACAATATAAAACATGTTTTGTGCCCCTTGATGCTGTTTTTATGGAGCAGATACCTTGACAACGTTATTTCTGACACACGATATATTTTCTCTTTGGTGTTATAAAATTGCTTTATGGGCATTTCCATATTTGAGGGAAGGGTTACCAATAATTCTAGAGTTCATTTTGGTAGATGTAGCTTTACTTGTGATGCTGTGCAATTCTAAAGTGTTATACTTGCAGGTGTCCACAACTTATATAAAACCGTTTTTAACTCAATCTGAACATTATAACATGTACTGCATTTGCTTGAGTTACTTAATAAACTGGTAACTGAACACATTATTAATACATGTTGCACAAGCTTTACACACTGTGTTGAGGTGCTGAAACTGATCCAAGTATTCAAAGTCGCTGTCCACTGACACATGGTGCTGAAACCATTCCAATCCACTCTATCACGACTCATTTTAATCGTTTATTTGAACAGGGACAATGCACATTAATGAACACTTGAGACACATAATGCTTCAAGTGTAAATATGCCGGATTTGAGCTTTGAGCTCATTTCCATCCGTAGTCCCTGACATACAACATATAAGAACATGACATTTATAAACATAGCAAAAAATAAATACATGATGTGCAAAAAGAGCATGAGCAGCATATACAAGTATTTATGACATGGCAGTACACTATAGCAGCAACGACATATTAAGTGCAAGAGAAGATACAAGAGATGCATAAAGTGCAAGAGGAGATACCCCTGTATTAAAGTGCATTTAGCAGTGATTGCACGTCTGTTTGTTTCTCAACCATTCTTTGAGTTGACCTTTAAAACTATTGAGAGTGGGACAATCCCGTAACTCAGTTGGGAGGCTATTCCAGAGTGAGCTGCCTTTAATGGAGAGGACATTTTGACCAAAAGTGGCCCGTCTACATCTGTCCTACTTGTATGTTCTGTCAATATAAATATGGTGCTGAAAGCTCCTTGAAGGGCCACTTAAAGAACATAAAGTCTCTCTCGTGGGGGGGACATTCGATGTGTCTGTGCCTGTGCCAACAGCACATCACATGTTAGGAGCAGATGATGCTGCCAGGCTGTACACGAAATACAAGGTTACACAGGTTATCACGGGGGGGAGTGAAAGCAGAGACACAACCAGGCCACTGTGACAGGATGTACTTACTCCCAAAGTAATCCCCCCATTGACAGGCAAGCATTCCCTGAAAGGAGATAATCACTTTCTCCATCCCTCATATCATTAGTATAAGGATGTGGATGTAGGTGTTTAAAAAAAATGTTTATGTAAATCTCACGCAGAGTTCACGCTCAGGTGCTCGTGGCACATGAGCCGACGCGTGACTAATTTTTTATTTATTTGATTTGGTCTCTCTCCATCTAGTGTCGTGTCCTTGGGAGGAGGAAACAGGTCTGAAACCTCAGCAACCACCGCGAGATCTGCAGACTTAGCATCCTATGGAAGGATTCACATAATATCCACTCAGAGTATATATCTAAACCCATTCCAATGACACCGATAAGTCACTGTGAGCAGGTTAAATAAAAGGAAGTGATGGCGGTGCTTACCTGATGGCGAGCAGCTCATGCAGTAGGTAGGCTGCAGCAGCCAGCAGGGCCCCCCCGGTGATGTACAGGGTCTTCTTCCACCAGGAGTCCGACCCCAGAACCGACATAATGCCCCCGTAGTCCTGTAAGGGGAAGGCGATGATACAGCCATATAAAGACTGCTGCTGCTCGAAGCCGCACAGCCCGAGCGGCAGGCTGTGATTCCGCCCGAGTTCAACCACACACGGCCGGGAAGAGGCGAAGCCAGCAGCCCAGTACATCCTCCCCTCCCTCGGTTAGAGCCACCCCGCTTCCTCCCCGCTGTGGTCCCCGTTAGGCTTCATCCAAACGCCCGGCGGGTTTTCTACGGCATGGCGGCTGTGTGGTTAATATTTATCCGGAATATTAGGAGTAAACATGTCGGTTCGCCCTCCCCTAGGATGATGATCCGCACCCAGTCCGCTTTCCCTTGCAGGTTTGGGAGAACATTGTCAAGCTATGAAGTAATACAACACCTTGACTTCCGGTTACATCTTTCAAAATTAAACGTCTCTGTTGGGGCTGTGTTGCAATGTTATTTTGATGACTTGTGTTCTGTAGCCTTTTTGCAGATGAAGTTATAAAAGTATTAACACTAATAGTTGGTTATTATGTTTTTAATATATTAGGTAATAATGTATTATAGTTATAGTTTTATTTTATTTTCTTATTTATAAATGTGTTATATCAAGGTCTCGTTTGACATAATGAACAGGGAGCATCATGGAAAGTCATGTTCAGTGACCCTTTAGCACCGTTTAAATTACATTTTCTGCAAATAGTACATTATTTTAAACCATCCACTGCTGAACTACTGAAACTTCCCCCTTCTTCACTTTCAGAGATATTCTCTGATGCAAGGACTGCAACTTATTATTGTTTTCAATTGATTTGCAATTGACTTGAATATTGAAGAAGTTGTTGAATAAACTTAAGCTAAGTGACTTGTTTTTTTATCATTTAAGTGTTAATATGTTAAAAACTGGTGTTCAACCAGTAAATGCTGTATATTTATCCTAAGTACATCATCCTTTTTCAACAGCGTACATGTTTATATCATTATAAATGTTATATAAACTTGACATGCTCGAACATTCTGCAGGACTCTCAAACAGCTTTGTTTTTATTTCAGCATTAAAGCTCATCCTTGACCATAGTAGTATTTTGACGTAAATTAAAGAGATCTGATGAAAGTCCTAGAAAGAGCTAATATGTGTAAGTGAAGCTAGAATCATTTTTAAGATAATATCAACGTACATCACAACTAGCAAATGTCAACAAATTAGGATTAAACAGGCCAGGGGCTTGTGGTCTGAGAAAAATAATTGCTGTGTAATATCCTTTTATTGTTTAGGTGAACTCTGGCAACATCCGGTGTTAGCATACTAAACTCTGGCAGCTCGACGCAGCCGGCCTATTGTCTGCTCCGGAGGGGAGACACCGCGCCCTGACGAGCCCTGCGTCCCAGTGAAACCAGTGGCTACCCGGAGGAACACAGCGCTTATTGGCCAGCACTTATGACAAGTAAATTATATTTGTATAATAAATGAAACTGTGTATGCGACAACCTACTCAATTGACAATTAGTTTCTTCACCACCAAAATATCTGCTGTTGATAGTTTGTTTGTTTACCTTTGAGGATAAAAACCGCCACAAAAAAAAACACTATACATGCACAAATAGCGTATAGGTGAAACAATATCCATTCGTTACGTTTTTTTATGTTAATGTAGTCTATTAAACAGCATTCGCATTTTCAAAAAGCATACACAACTGTAAAAGCCTTTTAATCGGAATTATATCAAAATAAAAGTATACTCACTCTTGAACAACTTCGGAAGTGTAGGAAGATATTCATCTTGACGGAGAAATCCACCTGACGTTCTTTGAATCTGTTTGTGGAGCATTCCGAGAGGTGTTGGGGAAAAACTTCCAGAAAAGACGATTTAGTAAAATATCCTGTAGGAGCTTACAACAGCTTCGGTGCCAAATGAAATCCCGTCTGCTCCCAGTCAGCAGGTGACAGTGTGTCTTGGTCAATAGCGATAGGTGTTTACACCGAACGGAATGAACTACCGGTGTGTATTAATGAATGGTGGTGCACTTTAAAACCCTCACTGCAGCCATGGCTACTGCAAGTTAGGTGCGCACTCCCGCGGATTCAGGGGGCGCGCATTAGAGCAGGAGAGTGTGTTATTGTAAACAGATGAATAGTGTGGGAACAAGAGTACACTGCAGGCACTAGCAGGGATGGAGGTACTCAGTTTACTTAGTTAAAGTACTAATGCAACGTAATGTAAATGTAAAAGGCGTTCATTAAAAATAAATAAATAAAATGATCTAAGGTAATCAGGATAATGTACAATGTGACTGTGGTAGCATTATATGTCATACGATTATAATTGCTTCTGCATTAATGTACAAGCAGGATTATACTGTTGTACTTGGTGGAGGTGTGTCTAAATAAGTATTATCTTCATTATGTATTCATCTGATTATTTCTCATATAATTCTCTAATCCTTTACAATTATGTTTTTTTTCTTCTTCCATCAACAATCCAAACCTCCAAATTCTTTAAAAATACAATAAAATTATTCAAATAATTTGAAGAAACACCGGCAAAAAAAAAGATTATTGTTGTCTTTCTTTCAAACTCTTCAAGCTTTTCGTAATTTGCATGTTAATCATATACAAATCAATGCAGTAGCTATTCGTGACACATTTAATATCTCCTACACAGTCAAATAACACAAGTAACCATTCTTGAAAAAGACAACATCAACCTCACAGTCCGTTGTGTTTAGAAATCTCATCTTTGCACGCACTTTAAGAACATCATGCTAGCATGACTTACTCTCTGCTTCAGGCTTGATTTGACTTATGTAATACTTCCACACGAGACCCTTTATAATCCCACAGGATGCGATTGTCCTATCCTCGTGTGTGGACACATGCTTTAGCATTGAAAAAATGATTTCCAGTGTGCAGCAAAAACCAACAGGAAATCATATTTATTGTTAGCGGACAGAAACGTAATAATTTGAATTAATACATTTCCCCTGCTGTACAGTATATACTCAAATAATGCATGTGAAAGTATAAACTCTGTTGAAAGCCACAATCAAAGGATGCACAATTGCCTTGAACAGCACATAAAACACTGTTTAAAGCAAAGGCTGATGTTGCCATGTTATTTTGAGTGCAGCTACATCTCTAATTCAACCTCAAGGCTGTTTGTCCCTTTCCTTTAATAACCGCTGTCTCATTTGCTGCTTCACAGCTGGCCACAGGGTAGTTAGGACATCACACAAACGTGAGTCTATTTTCTGATTGTTGTGCGGCAGTGTGTCTCAGCTGTGTGTGTCTGCGGTGCTCTCCTCCGCCTGCTCTGTGTGGGGGTCTTCTCTGGCTTTGACAGCGTGGAGGGCGTAGTTGATGGCTGTGCTGTTGGTCCAGCTCCAGGCTCCTGATACGGGGTTGTACAGCATCCCCTGGATAGACTGCACTGAGAAACCATCTGAGAGAGGATGGAAGGATGGGGGGGGGGATGTTAGAGAGGGACTGACAGCAGCACAAAGACATACGTTGCTTTTCTTTTTCCGCCCATTATATAACTCTGGCCTGGCAACCACATGTGATGTATCTGATATTAGTGGCTGGTTATGACTAGGGTTGCAAAGGGGCGGAAAGTTTCCATGGAAAGTTAAGCTGGGGAATTTTGGAAATATTCGATGCAAAATTAAACAAAAAAACATGACATTTCAACTGATTTTTTTTTTAAATCTTTTTTTTTTTCAAGTAGAACAGAACAAGTTTTAATTATTTTATTGAACAATTATTTGTTTCATTGAAGAACAAAAACAGGAATGTTGAGTTAAATGTTACTCATCCCCCCCAACCCCACTCATTAAAAAATGAACAAAAATGCACCCCCCATCCAAAAATCCCCACAAAGTCCCATTCAAAATGTTAAATGAAAAGAGCCCTTCTCCCTCCAAGTCCCATTAAACATGCAAATCTTCCTTCAAGCAATCCTCTGCATTTTTTGCTAAACCCTTTCAGTCAACGGGCTCTTCCTGGGCCTCATCAACATCCAACTCTGAGTCTTCCTCTTCACATTAGTGAGCCTGTTGCAAACCTTTGTGTGGTCTCAATAGCCATGCAGTAAGCAGTGTGCTATGGCATGGATATTCAAGTATACTTGAATGGCATCTGTTTGTTTTAGTCAAGATTATGCTAAAATATACTTTCCCCAACTATATTTAAGTTCCCTATGAAGAGCCAACCTTCAATTTGGAAAATTCCCAGTTTATTTCCATAAATTCCCGTTTATTCCCGTGGAAAGTTTCCATCTTTGAAAATTCCCGGAATTTTGCAACCCTGGTTATGACATAAGCCTACAAACTGAGGGAAACAACTTTCTGATTGGGTCGTTTACAGGATGAATTTTATTCTTACTGGTTATTAGCACTTCCCAATCTTTAGTTTATGGTTTAAAGAGGACTGTTAGAGCCAGTATTTCGTTTTTGATAAGAAAGGCCACCTAATTTTGACGTCTGTAGTCAACAGACTATAAAAGACTACAATTCCCACGGCGCCTCCTCTAAAGTGACAGTGATGGGCAACCTGCTAGAAAGACGCCGTTGAGGAACAGTTTTTAAACGTTAAACTACCCTTTAAGTTATTAAGTTATATAAGCCTTATCAAGAAGAAAGAATACCCAAGTTGTTTGTTATTTTATTTGAGTTATGCTTATTTGTTTTGAATATTGTAAAGGCCTCTTTTCTTTGTTGCACATGTAAAAGTTTGTTATCTTATTTTTGAGCAAACACATCGCTTTATACCATCCAAACAATCAGAGGCCAAGCAACTCTTCTAACTGTAAGTAACACAAATATAAAGGAAGAAAACCGAGTTAAAACATGTCTGTTTAAGGCGTCTAGTGGCTTGATAGATAAACAAGGAAGGAAGCCACGACAAGGACACTACTTTATACTGCGTGTGCTCTTATTTATGGAAATATATGCAAACGGAGGGTCTTACTGGACTCCAGGAGGCGCTCCAGATCCACGGGGCTGATGAACTTCTCCCAGTCGTGCGTGCCGCTGGGAACGATGCGCAGCAGCTGCTCGGCGGCGACAATAGCCAGCGCGTAGGACAGGTTGGTTTTATTCAGAGTGGTGATGAAGAGGGAGCCGCCTGGCTGCACACACAGAGAGGAACAGTCTTAGTTTATAAAGTATAAAAGATTTACAGCTCTTATTGATGAAACTGCTTAAGAAAACATGTTTTACAATGACGTCACATCCTTACAGGTACTATGTACACAAGTTAGGTCCTACTTTGGTCCTTAAGGGTATTTATAGAATGGATTAGATACACAGAGTCCAGAAAGCAGCAGTGCCCAACCTCAAGGCTCAACTACGTCAAGATTAACTATTTCAACAGAAGGGGGGGTGGTGGGAGGAGAGTGGAAGAGGTTGAAAATACAAGTTGTATGTGAACGTTTTTTTAAATAACACAGAAGTAAAAGAGAGAAAGAGAAAAGAGAGTTTTGGATTGCATAATTATGGAAATATTCAAGGAGGATGGTAATTAACGGGAATTCTATGGGAAGTCAAATAGAAATATGGTGGATATTTGTTCAGACTGTATGTACCGTATGATAAGCAGACATTCTCTTGTATATTTTTGCAAGATACATTTATTACTTTCTCAAATACATTCAATGTGAAATGTGCAATGTGGGGAGTTATCTGCTGATTGATTAGCTAATGGGGGAAATAACTGATTAGCTGATCATCTGGGCTTCATGCAAATCAAGAGTTTAAAGAGGATTATATTATAAAAAAATGAAACAGTGAGCAGTAAAGAGTGTATAAAATGCATGAATTCAAACCAAAAGCAACCCCAGGGAGCTGAAAAATATAACCAAGGCAGAAGTTTAAAAAACATCCCCAAACAGCCACTTCAACCTTTTACAGAAAACTGTCTTTGTCTACAAACTATAGGCTGCTATCTGCTGCTTCACTGAATATGAATATACATACAACCTAGACATTTGGCTCAGAAAGTGCAGTAGTCTGAGCTGCACATGGGATGGAGAATGCACTGTGCCTGCAGAGGGTTGTCATTTTCCTCAATTTCAATTTAATAGGATGCCATCCATCAATCTATCTATCATGTGACGTTGTGAGTGCTCTGCTGAATGCAATACATGATTACAGTTGAATTCCATTTGATCAAAACTGTATTAAACTCAAAATAAGTTCACTATTGTTTGTCATTATTTTTATTGCAAACTTCCTTGAAAATTAACCCAAAATTAACTGACCCAACCCTAGTCCATTCACGTCTCAACTGAATACAGATGCATCTAGTGAACATTAGGCTGTCTTTTTTCCTCTGCACTCGACAGTCCACTGATGACAATCATCTGCTCTCTCAGTAATATATTTTTTTTCTCTGTATTGATGTTGAGTTTTCACTCTCGTCAGGGTTCAGTGCAGCACAAACTCATAAAAACACATGCTCACCTATTCCCAGAGAAACACAACAGATGCAAACACAACAAACAGATCACCATATGCACGTTAGCACATGCTCAGGTGAACACACAGACACACACTGTAGTGGTGCAGAAATATCTGACATGAGCCAACAGCTGGGGGGTAACACACACACACACCCGGGCTGGGACACACCTTCAGCACGTGTCCGCAGCAGAAGGCGAATGTTTCCAGGTCGGCCAGATGTTCCACCACCTCGGAGGCCACCACAGCGTCGTAGCGCCCCCCCCCCATGCTCCTCCTCCTCTGAGAGGTCCTCCAGGGTGCAGGCACGGTAGCTGACCCGCTGACGGAGGTCCGGGTCGAAGGCCGTGTGCACCTGGGCCGTACCAATGCTGTCCCCCACCGGGTCGATACCCAGCACGTCGGCTCCCAGTCGGCCCAGAGGCTGGTGGGGGAGGGAGGAGAGAGTCAGACAGGGTCCACTGTAGGTCAGTGTTTTTAGGACTGCCATCGGCAATATGATTTCTTAGTTAACCAGTAGTGTTCAGTTAATTTAGTCTTTATGATATATTATGATGGTTTTTCTTTGGCTTCACAAAATACTTTGTTACAGGGAGAGAGAATATTATGAGTAACA